GTTTGTATTTTCCAGGAAAACATATTTTGGTTTCTTCCAGTGTAGGTTTGTCTTACCAGCAGAATATCATAAATCTACCCATGAAGCTCCAGTTTCATATTTTTATTTCTGAAGTTGATTCAAATAAACTCTGCTGTCTGAACATGCAGAGTCATTTGTTTAGTCTGTGTCTCTCACTTTAGCCTGGCTTGATCCTGTCCATTTGCTGAAGTGGATGTGATAGGAAGTGGTTCCATCTTGTGATTGTTTGGCTTTACACAGTAAATCAAAAGGCTTAAACCACAGTGACACATGGACCACAGTCACATCCACAGAATTGCCACCCGCACACACGAGGCTGGAGTGGGAGATGTTTAATCTTACTGTAATTATCTGTACAAAGAGAGGTCGCTTTTTTGTGATGGCATTGGGAGTTGGTATTAATACGAGAATAAATACTGTATTTAATTAATACTGGAAGTCCAAGCTGAGATGATAGATGTGATGATTATTAAGGTCTTGAGGTTTCCTGGAGCACTGATTAGAGATCTGCCCTGAACAGAACCTGAGTGTTGTTCACTGTGGAGCTCTCTATGTCCTTACATTTACTTTAATTTAGCAAATGTAGGTCAGTACAGCTTAGCCCAGCTCTGCCACCGGACGCTTCTGAAATCTCAACCTTAAAATGAACACTAGGGTGGGATTTAACATTTAACATAAAAAAGAACTGGCTTCAATAAACAGGGAAGTAACAATAACCAACATATTGTGAGATCATATCATCAAAACTTAATATATCAAATAATAAGGTTTTATACTTGAATGTGTTTTAAAAAAGGGAACTACATATGTCATGATCCATTGCTTCATTTCAGTGCAGACTATATGATAAAACAACTTATTATATATTATGCTATAAGCACTTTTAAGTCTTAATTCTTAGTAATATGACTGGAAGGACTGACATCAAAGACTTATTGAAAGAGCAATTTGGGGTTTGTCAATTCAATGGTACTTTTTAAATGAGAAAATGTTGACTCTCTAGAAATACATGTGTGTCTGTTCAGCTTTGAATTACATGTTTATTTTGAATTCTCATCCATATTTTTCAAGGCCTCATTCACATTATAATTTTACCACTAACAACAGCACTGGGACAGATTATTGTTGCCCAAAGAGTGAGAAAACGCACATTCAAAACCTGAGAAAGTGTACTGGACATTTATGTTTCTATTTTAATAACAGTTAAGGACCAGTATGGACCGGTTGGTTAGCAGACACATTCCTTATTAAAAGAGTCACTCATTTTGTCATTGTGAAACTTAAAATAAAGACTTACAGGAAATCCAGGATCTGCATTGCTTCTGTTTTTGCTATAGGTCTTAATCATAACGCTTGTGTGGTCTAATGTAAAGTTTATGGAGATGAATGTTCCTATTGTGGAAAGTAGAGTTTCCCAGACCAGTGAGTGAAGTTCTCAGGACATAAAAGGTGATCCTCTCCAGAACTGCAAACTGTACAGACTGACCTACATCTCACATTGTTGTCTGACACTTCTCATAACAAAAATATATTTAAATCTCTCTGCCATGTTTTTGAATGAATTAAAGGCAGATGATGTAGCTCAGTTGGATTTGTACTATTTATGAAGTTTCTACTGTTTTGTGTATCAGTTTGATGGTACGTTTGTGTAGTGTGTTTTTCAGTGGAAGTAGTTTAGAGTAATTGGACTAAAGTTTAAAAAAATATATATATACATAGCATAAGAAGGTATTTTGTCCTCAAATTGTGTTAATGCTTTAAAAGGCCTATGTTACGGTATTTTCTGATGTCGCTCATTCCTTTCCTCACTACCTGAAGTTGTGTTTTGTTTCATTTACATACATGTTTAACACAAAACCTGCATATTTAGTTCTTCTCTCAAATAGAAAACACTCTGCTCCACCTTGTGATGTCGTGGTAATACAGGAAGTGCTCCACTGTGTTTTTAAACTCCATACACCTTCACTAGAATTGTTTGGATGATTTTAATCCATGAATTGCCAGTCTCTACTGAACTAAATAACTGAACCTACCATGACATGACATCACAAGGTGGAACACAGCATTTTGAGCTTTGGAGATGTAGACAGACTAATAATAAAGCGTTACTCAAACATGGGTGAATGAAACAAAACCCAACTCTTTTTTGATAAGGTAACAACATTATAACATGGCTTAAAGCTCACAAGGGTACATTTTGTATAATAGATGACCTTTAAGTATCAATTGAAGTAGTACATTAATAACATAAGTTTGTGATGCTTTTGTTTGTAGGGCAGAGGGAGAATGTGCATTGTAATGTTGGGTGGGGACACAGGATGGGGCAGCATAATTCCATTGTTTTTCATTGAATGAATTATTAGCTATTTTAAAGCCATACACACTGACAATGATTGGTGCTGCATTGCGTCGGAGTGTGTAATTTCTTTATTGATAGTAGAAGAACCTCAGACTGTTTGTCCAGGTGTGGGCCAAGCCTTTTAATAATATACTAATAGGTGAGTTATATGTTCTGTCATAGCATAAGCAAATACATATTTTTACACATATCTAGGTTTAATGCGTTGGAAGCAGAAATATGATCAGGATTAGGGGAAGGCCTATTTCTATATCACATTTCTCTGACACAGTAAGTTTTAAGTCATATAATCAACCCGTTTTCTACAATATTGACAAAAAATATGAGCTACAATAAATGAAAGAATTATTGTCATGGAAGTTATTTATTCAAATATCTGCAGTTCACATCTGATTGTACTTCAAAAAAGTTACCCTCTAGTGCAAAATCGGTTAATCCACATGATCAGTATTGGGACCCAAAAATATTGCACCATGTATCATTTATTCAATGTCAAAAGAATATAGTAATTACTGTGACAGACCTACAGAGGATTAACAATTTTTTAATGAACAACTAAATATGAAATACACGATCACAGTTAGGAATAGCTTGATATCGCTTTTTGCATTTGAATTGGTCATCATTATTTCCAACAGAACATTATCACCCAGGAGATGTGTCTGCTGTCTAACAAAGAAGTCCTGCCCGGTGCATTCCTCTGCCCAGTGGAAGAGGGTCTTTTTGTTGTGGAGATAGGGGATCATTAAAGGACCAAGTCTGCTCTCTATAAGAAGCTCTTTGTGCTCGTGATCTTTCTCAATGTGGTCTTTGTGCTGAGACGTTAGATATGCCGTCAAACTCAAGTTGGGGGCAATTATTTGGGGTCTTTCTCTGCCACTCTGTAGGCCGTGGGCATAAAGTGACCATTTTGGACCAGAGACGAGGGCACTGAGGCGGCTGCTATGTAAGCATTTAGTGTGGAGGTGGAAACAGAAGAGACTGCCTGGAGCCCAAAAGAAACAGCAGAAAATATCTAAAAACTCTTTTCTTATACTGATAATATACTGTTGTATATTGGTTGGCAGCTAATATTATCTACCTAAACACAAGATGGGAAGAGGTTATATTGGCTTAGCTTCACTTGGTCATTTGAAATCTGAAAATGTAAAATCTTTATTGTAGTATTATCAGGAGAGTGAAGTGTTTAATGCTCTTATTGACTTAACTTGCTATGGTGTTTAAGCATGATACAATTTAAAGGGCCTATACTAAACTGTCTCCTGATTTATGTTTTAATGTTGTTTCCTCATCACAAACATACTTGGTGTGTGTTTTGTTTCATTCACACGTTTAACACACAAAGTCTGCATATTTAAACTGAGTTGTTCTCTCAAACACTTGTTCCACCTTGTGATGTCGTGTGAAAATACAGGAAGTTCTCCATTTTGTTTTTAAACATCATATATCTTCACTAGAATCATTTGGATGATTTCAGCCGTGGAATTGCCAGTTTTTACTGAGCAAAAGATAAAAGGTAGCTGTTAACCACAACATGACATCACATAGTGGAACTGAATATTTTGAGCATTGGAGATGTAGACAGACAGAAAGAAATACTCAAACATTTGTGAATGACACAAAACACAACACCAGGCATGGTTTTGGTGAGGTAACAGCATCATAACATATATAACAAACATATATAAGCTCACAAGAGTCAGTTTTGCATTGTATAGGTTCTTTAAGAAACCACCCAAGAAGCCAAAAACAAATGAACAGTTATTGCATATTTCTAGTGCCACATGAACACATGCTTCACGATCACTGCATTATGTTGTACTGAATGTCCACCAGGGTCTCCACCCCCTGACCCGCAAACTGGGAAACCCTGTGCTTTGATCATGTCATGACCCCTCTGATCCTTCTGCCATTCTCTCACATTCAGGCGTGGGGAGGGCGGTGGTGCCGCTGGTATGCAAACATCTCAAGACACACTGTCCCTGCCTGTGGTGTGGTTCTGACTGGGGCTGAATGGGACTTTATGGACACATGGCCCCATATTATGTCTGCACATTCTGATGAGTCATTTGAGCCAAAACAAAACCTAATCTTCTTTACGCACAAGCAATCCTGACAGACACGCACTGACAAGTGGAGCTCATCAGTGAACACTCGCTTAGGTTCCAGAAGTATATGTTCCATTCATTTTTCCCATTGATTTTTTTTTAGGAGTTCAAAGACATCATGAGGCTTAACAGCTACATGATAAATAACCTCCTTAACACTGTTGTTTTAAGCAACCAAAAACGCAAGATTCTGCGAGATGTTTTAATAACTTGGCAGTTAATTAAGTTTTTAACAGATTTTAAAGGTGTTCATTAGTTTGACACAACTACCCTGAGCAAGCTTTCAAATTTCTAATATACTTTTTTTTTTGGTCTATGAGAAAAATGAATGGGAACGTTAGTTCCGGAACCGCAGGGTGGGCGGCCACTGCTCCATAACAATTTACACAAGCTCTACACATTTACAATAATGTATATAGATCACCCAGATTTATTTACCAATGTTTATGCTGATTGCTGTATATTTGCATTGGAGATGTTGTAACACTCATGTTTGTGTGTTTGTGTTTCAGGGCGGGAAGAAGCAGAGCGGCCCGTGTGGAGGAAGAGACTGCAGCGGAGGATGTCAGTGCTTCCCAGAGAAGGGTGCCAGGGTAAGTCCCTTCCGACAGCACTGTAAATAACAGTTTCTTCCTCTTCTACTTCCTCTCTCGTTTTAGATCAGAGGAACCTTGTAAACATCTTACACATTTTTTTCCTAAATGTCAGGATCCATTGTGATACCAGATATTAGGTGATCTTATATGTTGTCTTTGCACATAATTTTGGCAATATTATGATAAAAATTAAATCGTGAAATGATCGTGATCTTGACGAAAGGCTTCTTTGGTGATATTTTCATATTATAGTTCAGTGCTTTTCTATTTAATGCAGCTCTATGTTGTATCCACTCCTTCTACTGGTTAACCTCAGTCAGGCTCAGAGTGGATTTAACCACAGTGAAGTGTGAACTGTCAGACAGAGAGTTTAAAAAGTATAAAAGTACATGATGCACATGAACCGTGATCCATATGAAATAGAAATCAAGGCTATTCATAATGGGTGATTTTTTTTTGGCATATCACCTATTTAAATGTATATTTTTAAAAGTATTTTTTTTACATACATTGTCATTACCTGCAGATAAGTCAGATTTTGAAAACTTTTACCATTTTACCATGCAATTACCATTTTCACTGTAGTAATGCAGATTTCTTCATACCATTTAGCTGCCAAAGCTGACAGTTTAATGTAAATGTGTGAGGGAGCGTGTGGTTTAACCCTAGAATGGGCACAGGGCCAAATGTTAACCTATGTTTAAAGTCATTATGTCTAATGACTTTCCTCACGTCTTGTGAGTTTAACTAGTGTGAAGTAAAAGAACGTCATTAGGGGACAATACGAGACAGAGGGGAGGGTTTCACTTCAGAGACTTAGACTTAGACTAAACACTGAGAGATAAGAGCTGGACTGTTCTCTGCATCACTGCTCACTTCACACACTCACTGTACATCAGATATAAGCCTTTAATCGTGAGACCCTTCATAACATGAAATTTTAGAACGCCAATGCACAGTCAACCCCAGAGTAACCTGTCTTTGTGTACTGTTACTTTACTGAGGTCATAAGTAAAATAAACTTATAAAAGTTGTGTTTTTAATCATTATTCCACTGACCAAAGGCATACACATACAGTACAATCTAATCCATGTAAATTATATAAATCTTTGAGTGAATACCCAGTTGACTGTCCCAGTTGACTGTCTTCTGTAGAACATGATAGTAGAACATGTGTGAGTTGATATCTGCCCAGTCTCTGAGACTCAGTTCTCGTGAAGTGATGAGGTGAGAAGTACTTTCAGAAACAAACCAGCCAAACATCCGTTGACCTTTTTTGTTTGAAACATACCAAATACAATATTTAGTCTGACTTCAGCTCTGTGGCATAAAGGACTTAAAGCCACATTGTGTTTGGTGGTGTTGAAGGCTCCCTGAGGAGCAATTCAAAAAGAGGAATGTTTCTGTAACTATACTGTGGCCTCCTGAGGACTGGCCAACAGCAGGCCACCCTTCAGGCCTTAGGCCGGTCTGAGAGAGGAAGCACAGGGGAACCCAGAGAGAGAGAGGAAGCTACGTTCCACTTGAGAAGGAAGTCTGAATCTCAATGGGTCAGCTGCCTGCTCCTCCACGTATTGTTTTATTTTCAGTCTCTGTGTCACAACCATGTTTTATAGATGGCACTCAATAATTACATTCAAACTAATCAAATATGTTTGCAGTGTTTTCTTTTGAAAGGACCCATATTATGCTATTATCTTATTCTTATGTTATAATGTAGTTTTCTCATTGAAAACTGTGCTGTGTTTTGTTTCATTCACACGTTTACTACACAAACTCTGCATATTTAGGCCACCTTGTGATGTCATGTAGCAATACAGGAAGTGCTACATGTGTTTTTAAACTCCATACACCTTCACTAGAATCATTTTGATGATTGGACATCAAATCATCTGGAATTGCCAATCTCTGCTGAACTAAAAGTAAAACGTAGCTGTTAACTTGAAAACTACAGCTTCATGACAAGCTTCTAAGCTCATTATTTTTGAGCTTGGGAGATCTCGACAGACCGTCGAGATAAAGGATTACTGAAATGTGTGAATGAAACAAAATAAAAGTCCAAGTATGTTTTTAATGAGGTAACATTATAACATGGCTTAAAGCTCACAAGAACCAATTTTGTGTAATATAGGAACTCTGAATATAACAATCAATTACTCACTTTAAATAATCACTGTAAATTAGTGGAGAAGAAGTACTACTGATGGAGGGAGCAGGGACTGACGCAATAGTCATTCATAGCACGAAACACCAGCCCTGTAGCTGTATTGCTTAAGTGCTTTACTCTTCTGTTTATTTAAAAAAGAACATTTTCCAACAGTTTGGGTACAAAATTTCATCCAACTCTTTGCACAACCAATATTAACTGTCCTCCAGATGGACTGTCACAGATGTTTTTGTCCCCTTGAGTGATGAGCTACAAGTGTTTCCAAATGCTTTATTTTCAACAGCTGTCTTATTTTGGTGAGAGACTTTATACAGCTGCTCTGATTAGAAAGATTACATCGCTCATTTAGTCGCTCTTTGACATACTGTTAGTCACATGTAATTTAAAATAATGATCTAAATGATGGAGAGGGACCATGTTGAAATCCAAGTTTATGATCTGTCAAAGTTGAAACAGCATTATACAAAGTCAAGTAGATGCAAACAGAGAGAGACTGTGACAATGAGTACGATTGTTTAGGACAGAGAATGTTGAAGTTTTCCGGATTTTTGACTTGGCAGAACGTCTTGTCCAGCTCAACACCCACTTCTCTGGCTTTGCGTTTCGGCAAGCTAAAGTCCCACCAACTCCACCGCTGCGCATCTGCTAAAACTTTTCAATAGTCATTAAAACTAAGTGGATAATAAGAAAATAAATTACTTGTGAATGTAGTTGGTTTTAGGTGCTAAGTGATCTACAAAACATAAAAGCACCACTGGAAGCACTCAGTAGTTTTCGATCAACAAAATAAAATCCTATACTGACCCCCTTACAACCACAGCTCAGTATTTGTCAACTAATCAGAAGATTGATGCTTTAAATCCCGCTGCCACAGATGAACGCTTTTGTTGTGTCTTTGAACAAAATGCTTATCATGTTCGCCCCCAGTGTCTGTGTACACTGATGTATGAATGTGTGTGTGAATGGATGAGTGGTTCCTTACTGTAAAGAGCTTTGAGCGCCTTGAAAGTGGAAAAGCATTATATAAAATGTGACCATTTACCATTTACAGATGTGGTTGAATTTGTGTATTTGACCCTAAATGACAATGGAAGACTGTGGTGGACTATTTACAAAAGCAAACAAAAGCTTCAAATAAGATAAATATGCTAAATGTGCAAGTGATTTTTAAGGATTAGGTCATGCAGGCTTTGTTATAAAATGCTTTCTCTATTTTTTTATTTAGGTTTCCTCATCACGAACATACCTGGAGTTGTGTTTTGTTTAATTCAGACATATTTAACACACAAACCCTGCATATTTAGGCTGAGATCTTTTCGTAAACTAAAAACACTCTGTTCCAGCTTGTGAACTCATGTGATAATACATGAAGTGCTCCACTCTGTTTTTAAACTCCATACACCTTCACTAGAATAATTTGAATTATTTCAGCCCTGGTCTTTATTGAACTAAAGGTGTAGCTGTTAACTACCACTACATGACATCACCAGGTGGAACAGAGCATTTAGATCTTTGGAGATGTAGACTAATAATAAAAGGTTATTCAAACACGTGTGAATGAAACAAAATACAATTCCAGGTATTTGTTTTTAGCAGGTAACATCATTTTAACGACCTTTAAGTAGTAGCCATAAAAAAGACAGTGATATTAAAAGTATTTTAATGTTGTGATACAGTTCTAAAGATATCTGTGGAAAAACTTGCTCATTTTATGTACGGTATGACGCACTAAAGGAAGTCCCGCACAATGACATTCCACTGATCTTTTTATACTTTAATAGCCTGCTCTTAGACATGGGAACAAGTTGTCTGTTTGTGTGAACCGTCAACTGTTGCTATTTTCTTGTTCGATAAAAAAGAAAGATTACAGCATTTTTTTTCAATTCATTACTGGCTCATTTCTGGAGAAGTGGAACCTTTAGACGTCACAGAGCACTTCTTGTCTGGTGCATAAAACCTTGATTAAACTTACATGAGTGAACATTCTTCATAGTTCATCACATTTTTCCTCTAAGATACAAATGAACCAGAGAGCCTAGATAAGTTTGTGAATTGATTTGGTGCTTCTGACATGCTGACGGTTTGCATTATATATTTTAGGCTGAGGGACACGAGACACAGACAACCCCTGCCCCAAGATCTGCAATCACCTTGCTCATCCATTTCTGTAGTCCTGACCCCAACTTATGAACTGCAATGTAATGATGAAAAAATGTGTGTTACTAGAGCCATAACACTTTTTTTTTTTCTTTTTTAAAGCTAAGATCTATGTAAAGATTTGAGATCACAGGGGCCGTCTACTGTCTGAAGTCTGTGGATGAATGGGGGCTTAGACAAACAGACAGTGGAGCTGCAGCTGTGAGCATGTGTTCATATACACCACCATGGGCTGTGTACAAGTCCATCACTGACCCTCACTAGGGGTCACAGACTTTAAGGATACTGCAGTGTCCCATAGCAGGCCTGGGAAAATATACATAGGTGTACTGGTTGTTTCCTGCATATGTGTGTACAACTGATCAGTATGTAAGTCAACAGGAAGTTAAAAAAATACTTAAAACATTGTTGTAGGGTTGGAAGTTATAGCACCCAAAGGCTTTTCTTATTGCATGTTCAGGTAAATAATATTTCAAGAGGTTGTCAAATTTTGCATCGGCACTATTAGTTTATTCATTAAGAGTTTTGCATTTTGAATTCTTTTTTCTATATTGTAAGCAACAGATAACTAAAATGTATTTAAAAAAAAGTTTACATTTAAATTTGTGAAGATTTGATATATGGAGGAATGTTTGCATCTATACAAAAGAGATTCTGTCTTTTCATTTCATCTGATCTTTTTAGAGTGCGTGACCCTGTGTCCTATTCCCACTGTGATGTGGTTTTAACAGTCCACATTAAGTCCACATTTAAAATGATGGGTGATCTTTAACAACAAGAGCTCCACTGTTGGCATTGGTGCCGTCACTCTCATGATTTAAACAGATCGTTAGAAGATAGTTAGTTACTGTTATGCTCACTGTTCACTTCACTGGAAGAGACAGAGGCACTTTTGCCTGGGAAATAGGCTACACTGGCTACATGCTTTTAGCCATGTCTGTGGTGAAGTCATGGTAACCATGAGCCAATACAATCAAGGAAAGTTTTCAGGACAAATATTACACATCACCTTTAAGTGTTCTATCGATTTAAGTGTGTTATCTATCTAACTGTGGTAAGGAGGCAGTGCCACTAATATGGAGTCTCATCACTATCTGGCCTCTGCCAGACCCAAGTGGCTTAGACAGGCCTCTGATGTGACTCAGTGAAGAAGAGATGTAGCCAGAATGAAGAATAAGATGTAGCCAGTTCCTTAAAGGGCCAATTTTATGCTATTTTCTGGATCTAACTTATAATGTGTCTTTAAACTCCATACAACTTCACTGGAATCATCTTTGCTGAACTAAAGGTAAAAGGAGCTGTGAACTACAAAACTACTATTTCATGACATCACAAGGTGGAACAGGGCATTCTGAGCTTTGGAGACATAGACAGACTAATAATGCAGGATTACTGAAGCACGTGTGAATGAAACAAAACACAACTCCAGTTTTTGATGAGGTAAAACATGACAGAGGAAATTTAGCATAATATAGGACGTTTCCATGTATCATAATAATGCCCTCATACATGAGAGGCAGCACTAAACACTCTGCCACCCTGCTCTACCAAAATACGCTGCATACTATTTCTCTTGATGCTGTCAATCCGCACCCAGTCTGCATGGCCAGTATTTACATTGTCTGGGATATGTATTTGCCGCACAGACAGTAGTGACTACATAAGTTATGAGCGGTGAAGAGCGTCCACAGGGTCGGAGGTGGAATGTGGCCAGAGCTGCAGGTCACCACGGCAACGACATGTGTTCCCCATCAGTGCTGTGTTGTGAAAACTACAACAGAGGCCCACAGCAAAGGAAACAATTAGATATCCACCAAGTCCACCCACGTGCAGTCCTCCTCGAACCTTCCGGCTTTTCTCAGAACCTCAGAGTCCATGGAGAGGAGGATGTGGTTATGTTCTAGATGTGGAAATACGTGGTGCAAATAATACAGACTGACACGCTGTTTTGGAAAATAGATTATGCAGACACAGACACACATTCATAAGAAACTAGCTTGTTGGCAGCCTGCATCCACAACAGCTGGAGAAACAGCAGGCGGTACTATGTCCTCCTGTGGGAAGATGCAAAATGCTCCAAATTGGAAAAGATGATGGCCCAAAACTGCCAGAAAGGATTAGTGGTTATTCTCTTTATAGGTATCATGTTATGGACTTTTCACTGTTCAAAAGATAAAATGTTTACTTTTCAATTGTTAATTGCTATGGAAATAGTGATAAAACCCTTGGATGACATGACTGATTTGTATATACCACCAGCCTTATCATGACATTTTGATATTGATTCTACTGATCAATATTAATCTAACTGAATATGTGTTGGATTTTGATTTACTTTGTTCGCATGTTGATTGGTTTGATAGAAGTAAAGTATTTAATTGTCAATACAATTTAATGTGGCCTGTGGTATGTAGTTAAAGTATACGATGTCAGTCTAGAATATTATTTCTTCGGACAATGGCACAGAAGAACTTTTATTTTTGTTTTAGCTGCAATCTGAGTTTTATTTTGAGTTAGAGGCAATGCTTTGGTGAAGGTCTGCACTCACCAACTTTGAATTATGACAAACAGTGAACCTACTTGTGAAAAAACGGTCAAAAAGTCACTCTGTTGAAAATATTATGAAAGTCCTTTATTCACACGTTCACACGTTTCGACACAGCTAGTATCTTTGCCAGGGCATATGATATAAGTTTTTATACTAAAAGTATGGTCATCTTCACTGTTTGTTAGTGTTTAAGCTTTGTCCTTGAGGAGCATCCGTTCCAAGGGCATAGGTTTGGTCTCAGCTCTGGTGCAGACATTATCAGCTAATTATCATTTCGGCTGCTAACAGCGCATGAGTAGGGCTTTGTTTGGGAGGTGCACTTGTGGCGATAGTCGCTCTTTTTCTGCTGCGACTCATTATAAGGCAAGTTTAATTGAAGAAGAAGTCAAGTAAGTTCCTTTTGAAAAGTTTTTCAAACTTTGGTGTGCAGCGTCTTCACTCACACCTGCTCAAGCCAACATCTTCAGGTGCGGCCCTGTCCTGCCGCTTCCCCAGTTTAGGCTCCTGGCACCACTAATGACATCACTCTGTTGCAGCCAATGCAATAGCGGCATGGGTAGCCCTGTCATCATATCACTGAATACACTTCAGAATATCTAATAAACAAAATGTGAAATAAAACGTAAAATTAATACTATTGAGTTTAGAAAAATATCAGAATAAATTCATATTTTTGTTTATTAAAATAAAATGGCAAATTGGTAGGGACTATTTTGTCTTCCCCAAATATTGGTTGTGACATGTCCCCACTGTCCCTATGCAAACCTACACCCTTGACCTGTTCTGGTCTTTTAACTAAGAAGAAGTCCCCTGAAGCTCTCTCTCCTAAATAATAACATAACTCAAGCTTCTTAGACTAACATTGACTGTAGTAATTTGGCAGATAGTTTCAAAGTTCAGCCGGTCATGGGCCATGGGATTGTAGTCTGTTTTTTGTAGTGCTGTGAAATGACGGAATAAACTACTACTACTGCTAAAGTTCAGCCTAATTGAGAGGCTTCGACCCATCTCAGATGCTTTCCAGATGAATAGCATCATTTGATGGGCAGATTTAATGACTTCATTTGGTTTTGAACTCTTCACTTCATTAAAAACAATACACAGCACGACATTCCCAGTGTGAGATGTGTGCGCATCAGCTGGAGCACAGTTTTAACCAGGAGGACCTTCTCTCAGGGAGGTTATGTGCATGGTCCAGTAATGGCTCTATAATGGCCTTGATAAATGAAAGTATAGGATTAGACTGGCCCGACTTGAGCGATGCAGGCTCACAGGTGTTGATCTTAGGTGCGGTCGACACCTCATTGAAACACCCCGCAGCTGTGTCCTGTTTATACACACATGTGGGACTGGAGATGTCTCATTCCTGTGCCGTGAGGCAATAGTGCAGGTGTCAGGCCCCCAAAGACCGCTGGGATCACCGGAGGTCCAAGTTCCCAGACTGGGATCTCCCCCTCAGTCTGGATCTCACTCAGACCTTCTTATTAGCAGATTTGTGCAATGTGTCTGGATCCTGTCACTTATTTGGCGTATGTGTGTGCACGTGCCGCCTTCAGATTTGAAATAAAATACACTAAACGTTTTTATATAAATGTAAACTAGACTGAAGGATAACCAGATGAGAAGTCAGTAATGATAAAAGTTTGAAGGTCAGTCCAAACCTCATATGTTTTCGTCTCTACATTGTCTTTTAATGGAATGAGTCAGAGGGCTGTGCTGTTGGGCAAGTACACTGTAGTACTAAGAGTTCTACTCATGTTTTCCCAATTA